TGAATGCTCAATGCCGCCGACGTCTCTGAAAACGATCCCACTTTTGCAAGATATTCCCAGAATTTAAATCCAGTTTCCACATGGGATTTGGGCACTTAGCCTCCTGTGTGATAAACTCCATCATGATGGCTTGTAAGATACTGCATTAGATACTTGCCAAAAAGAAATGAATGGAGAGAAGCCAAGGGATGCTACCTACTTGATGCGTCTTGATGCGCATAAATGTCTGTACATAGTTTATTATTGTCCTTAAGGCATTGAAAAGAAGGTGGCTCAAAATGGTATATCCATCCCCCCAGGTTTGGATCGGGTTATTTTTAAACGGTGGGCACCATCGTTCGGTGCTAGAGTCTCTGCTTTGCAAGAAGGAAGCCCTGGGATGAGTTCCCAGCATCCCCAGCAGGAAGGAATGTAGGCACTAAGGCTTCATCTGCACTGCAGAAATAATGCAGTTTGAGACCACTTTGACAGCCATGGCTCAATGCGATAGGATCCTGGGGTTTGTAGTTTGCTGTGGCACCAGAGCTCTCTGACAGAGAAGGCTCAATATCTCACAAAACTACAAATCCCAAGATTCCATAGCTTTGAGCCGTGGCAGTTGAAGCAGCGTCAAACTGCATTAATTTTGCGACGTGGATGAAGCCTTAGACTCTGCTCCAACTATGGGCCTTTGCAGACTGCCAGAAATAATGCAGCTTGAGGCCACTTTAACTGCCCTGGCTCAGTGCTAGGGAATCATGGGAACTGCAGTTTATTGTGGCACCAGAGCTCCTTGACAGAGAAGGCTCAATGTCTCAGAAAAAAAATACAATTCCCATGATTCCCTAGCATTGGGTCGTTAAAGTGGTCTCAAGCTGGATTATTTCTGGCAGTCTATAAAGGCCCTATGACACCATACTGGCTCTAAAAATGAGGGGTTTCTTGGCAAGAGTTCTTCAAAGGGGGTTTGCTACTACCTTCCTCCAAGGCTGAGAGAGTGTGTCTTGCATAAGGCATCCCTATAGGTTTCCGTAGCTGAGTGAGGATTCAAAACCTTGTCTCCCATAGTCTTAGACCAGCGCGCCACAAACCATTGCACCACAATGGCTTTCAGAAATTATTACTGTACATTCTTACTTTCCAAAGCTAATTAATTTCTGGCATTCGTTTCAGGGCTGGGGAACAATTGCTTCTCATTAGTTGTTGCTGTGCTTGAAAAGTAATGAATTGTATTACTCATTCTGTTGGGTTTCATTGCTTTTAAAATGAACCCAATTAACATCTGTCAACATTTCTTTTTATTTAAAAAAAATCCCTTTAAAGGTAATTTTAAGCATTACTTTTTACCAGTACAGTAGTGCCTTCCACATCAGTGGGTCACTCTGGCTTTTAGTCCGAAATTCAAACAAGCTGCTCAAGGTGCTGAATGTATTTTGCAAACATGAGATGTGGGGTCAGCACTTTTAAGCTTCGGACTAAAATCCAGAGCGGATTTACAAACCCCACTGAAGTTGAAATGACAGGCTGCCTCTGCTTTTTGGATGAATAAATCAGTGTTATTCCTAGGTATATTACTCCCCCTTCATTACCTTCCAAAAGTAACTTGCTCCTGGTAAATACATTTCTTTCTTAGGTTATGTTTAGCCTAGGGGAGAGAAGGTTGAGAGGGAACATGATAGAGTATATTGATTTTTGTATTATTTTTAACGTTGTTAACCGCCCTGAT